TTCTTTATATTCTTTTAACAATGTTATCGTGAACACATGAATATAGTTAAAAATGTATGAGTGTAAAAAATCAAGATAAAAGAAAGTAAGAATCCTAATATTAGTGAGATATTAATAGATATTAATAATTAAAATACAGAAAAATAAGAATTGTTAAATTTTATATAATAAATTTTTCCGTATAAAAGTATGATTCGCTGTTAAATCTATAGTGTCAAATTTAATCTAATGTGAATCGCCATCGTTCCTATTAAATACATCATTATTTTTTATTAAAACGATAATTAAATTTATCATGTCAATTTGATAAATTATATGTAGACACTGTATAGTGTAAAATATAATGTTTTATTATAAAATAACGATATGATTAAGTAGGTGAAGTGGCAGTTCGCATTAAGTTTAAATTTGATACAATAGATTTAATAGTATTCGTTATTATCAAGTTCAATTTATCTTGAACAATTGGTATCCGAGAAATTTTTGTATTTATACATATAAAAAATTACAATAATTTATGTATTTTATTATTATTAAATATATTTCTTCGTAACCACTATTCCACAAGAAAATCCATTTCTATCCATTTATTTTTATTAATCAATGATTTTTAATAATGTGTGGTAGGACATATTTTCTCGCGAATTTTAATATTATATTAAAGATGCAATAAAAATGTTAATTGTATTTGACATTCTACCAAAATTATTACTATCATAAGTAGTTTGAAAGATTCAAGATTCACACCCTCCTGTAACAAGATAGTTGGTGTTTGACGGAATGCTTAACTTTTGAATGGATCTTATGAATTTGACGTAGAATCGGAATTAAGTTCAATAATATTAAGTTCACTCTTCACTATGAAAATTGTTCTTCTTTGCTATCGAATGCTATCAGAATCAGAATATTACGGCAGTGGGACTTTGATATGTGATCAAATTATTAGAATAGTTATCTTGAACGTGATGAAAATGCTGTCGTAAATATATTAATGACTTTTTATCGCGATATTAATAAGTTTTATGATCGCAAGTTAATAATTAATAGTAAATACGATCTAATTATTATTAGTATTTCATTCCGCTTTTTTCAATATTTCATTAAATATAGATTTAGAAAAATTTGTGTTATATGTATTTTGATGTTTTCGTATAAATCCCACATTACTAAATTTTGTTAATTAAGCTCCTATAATATAATTTTTATTATATTTTGAACAGCATTTATAATTGTACATCGTATTGTAAACAATTATTGTATCATTAAATGTATAGAAGATTACAATGAAAGATAATGTTAAAAAAGATATAATTATTAACTATTTTATCGTATTTTATTAATCATAATGCAATATATAATTAGTAAAAAATATAATAAAATGATTAGACATAAAAATAAGAAATAAATTTTAAATATACTTACCTAATTTTATTAGTAGCCCATTTTTTTTTACGGATGAATATACTTACAAAGAAAAGAGGACCGCCGATAAAATCGCCGATAAAATCGGCGGGGGTGGTGGAGGGCCTCTAACTCAATTTTGCTAAATTACCATTTGGTAAACCTTAAATTAACAATATATGATTGGAAAAGTTTAAAGTCTCTATAATTGCTAATAATTATGAAGAAACTTTGGAAAATTCGTATGTAATAAAGATACTCAAATCCAGTAAATCTCAAGTTATACGTACCTCTTATAATTAATTGTAATTTGCCACAAGAATATAACTTTATTTATAATAACTGTATTTATAATAACTGTAATATATTACGCGTGAGTTATACTATAGTTATTAATTATTACATGTAATTTGATATTTGCTGAGAAAAAATGAACTGCCGTTAAAAATTGATGGAGTGCCTTTTGATTCATTTTTATTCATTTAAATTTTCTTTACAATTTTAAATTAAACGTAGTTTGTTTTACAATTAGAAGAAGTTAAGTTTATTCAAATTGCAATATGATAAAATAGCGCATTGATTTCGCCATGTTTCAAGAGTTCCCATCCTATATCTGAATACTTATATACATATGTATATGTGTATGTGTACTTTTAAATTTCAACAATGTAATTAAAATTAGATTATTTTAAAGATATTAATAAATACATTTCTTATATTTGGTGCGTTCGGGGATACGCTATTAGCGCTACTTTTGCTACGATTTTCTAATTGATTCATAACATCTTTAGACTGTACTTAAGACAAACTTAAATATAAAATCTGACTGAATGAATGCAGGCAGAGAAAAATCTGAACATTAATTAGATAGATTTTAATTATTTCAATGATTTTAGCGATTTATTTTATCAGGAACACTGCAAAACATGGATATTGTAGTTTACATCGACTTCTTCAGAGGGCAGTAATGCGCGGCGGTCCTCTTTCAGATTTCTCTCTGTCTGTACTATATTCATATACAAATATTTATTGCGTAACAATGCATTATAAAAATAATAACTATAAAAATTAAAATAATTTAGGCCTTAAAAAACGCAACAGATAAGACTAACGATCAGTGTAATTACTAATAAATCGATACTGTCTGATATTTTCAGTAAAAAATTATTGTTTATAGAGAATTTCTTTATCAGACTATGGTAGCTAACAAAGCTACTTAGAAATGAGAAAGAAAATATGTTTTTTTTCTTTTAGTAATATTCTTCAGTTATATTCTTCTTTGCAATAAAACACATGCATTAAATCCCTTTAATATTTATTATTTTACAACATAAAACATTAATTTTTATTTAGGATTAATATTGCGCTAGTCAATGTACAATTTAGTTACGATAACGTCCGCTTCGACATTTAGTTGAACGAAAGCTTTCTAACATCTTTTTGTTCTGTGCTCCAAACTGTGATTGTTCATTTTCATATGATTCGAAGTTTTTAACAGACACGCACTGACTATACAGTTGCGCACAGTTGTGTAGTGATAACTCTACGTGTTACAAGAAGTCCACGAAACAATAATTTGATTATTAAGATCAAAGATAAAAGTGAAATTATCATCGCTAACGTTATATGTGATCGATTATATCGTTTTATCTGTGAAGTAGACTTTTATAGCAATCACAACGAAATGTCCGATTATTTTACGGAGATGGGCTGGACTCCTTTGAATGACGGAGAAACGCCGAATCATTTAATTCAAATGGCACGGTTCCTGCGGGATTTTGGCATGTGGGACTTGGTCGGGCAAGATACAGAACTTCCACCGCCAGCGTCAAAGGACGCTGTGGCTAATTTGCCTGAAATTAAAATTGAATCCAATGAAAGCAAACAGTGTCCCGTTTGTCTAAAAGAATTCGAGACAGGCAATAAAGCCAAATCAATGCCCTGTCAGCATGTATTTCATCAAGAATGCATAATACCATGGTTAGAAAAGGTAGAATCAATTGAGTGAACATATAGAAAAATAATATACAAATTGTGTCGTGTTATTAAAAATAATAATTACAATCAGAATTGGAATATGCAAGAAGATTTAATTGCTACATATTAAATATTTATAACTTTGTATTTTCAGACTAACTCGTGTCCACTCTGTCGATACGAATTGCCAACAGACGATGAAGACTATGAAATGTACAGAAAAGAAAAGAAACGAGCGGTAGAAAGAGAGAAGGATTTGGAATCACTGCATAATTCTATGTTTACGTAGTAAATGTGTGATATTTAATTAAAAAATTTTCTTTCACTTTATATTATATAAGTTGAAAAATATCACTATTGAAAATGTTCATCATCATTAACTAGAATCGTAAATTAGTTGAAAAGATAGCGATTGCATAATTAATATATATATATATATTGATAAAACTTATATTTATTTATTAAAGAAAATGTCTCGTATATATAATCAAAAACTATATATAAAAAAAATATATAGAGCATATATTTTGTATTATATATATGATGTAGAATATACGGGATATTGTTTTTTATTTTACGATGCAAAAGATGATTGAATAAAAAGACATGAATTATTAATAGGAAATAATGTTTATTATACAGTGTACATATTAACTTCATTTATTTTTATTTCTGTTATAAATTTTATATTAATAATTGTATTATGTTTTTTTGCCGAGCGACGAATGCCTTGATCAGTGTGCGCTTAGACTATAACAATCTCCGTAAAAAGTATAGAAACTTCTGATTTTTATTTTGTTCGTTTGGTTTACTCTTTTATTCCTCTTTCTCTCCCTCTCTCCGATTTCTTCATCTTCTTTCATGCTATTTCTCATTCTTTCTCTTTCTCCACTTCTTTCTCTCCCTCTCTTTCTCTCAATTTCTCTCGCTCGTTCACTCATTCTCTCACTCTCTCTCGCTTTCACTCTGTCTCTTTCTCACCAATACACGATCGCTATGAACCATATCACCAAAGAGAATTGCCAAAATATGTTGCGCTGAAAACGGCATAATCGTTCGGCATATACAAATAATATTACTCGAAGTTAAAGTAATTGGCGGTTTATTCATCCTTTTTTTTTCACTCTTATATCGGTGACGACATTCCGAAAAAAAACGACGCACCGCCGCCGTCGCGCCCACGTGGATGCGACCCTTTCGTAGTTTTTCCCCCTTTCCCATATTTTCCTCCCCCTCATAATACTTCACCCTAGAGGGGGTTAGTATGTTATCAATTATTTATATATAATATGCGTAATAATATAAATAATGTCGTTAATATATCTATGATGATTACCGTTTCTTTAATGATAAACTATCTTGAATGATACATTTCTCTGCTAATGGCCATGTCCGTAATAGCTAGTTATGTAATCTGTATGCGAGCTTCAAGTGGGATAAGGTACGTCGTACAGAACTTTCGGCTCGGCATTCACATAAAACGAACGGTGAAACTAAATCGTTTAAAGTTACGTTCGAATACGGGAACACGTCCGTGGCGCGTAAATGCAAACGTCGGGAGACCCTTTTTCGTCCATCGATACATGGTTTCAGATTCGACACGACGTCGTCTCAGAATCCATTTTCGTCGATTTAACATAATATATCATCTCAACAGAAATATATATGAAGGACAGATTTATGTAGATCAATGATATTTAACGTTTTCTTTTTTTTTTTTATCATAAACTTGCCCATTTCGTATCTCATTCTTTTGACGAAATAGATATCCGCGACGTTCGCTAAAAAATATTAGTCCTTTATATACGTCCCCGTGTTCTATCATGATATAGAAATGTACGACGTTAATTTTTTTTCATGTCACTTACAGACTTCTCGTCGAACGCGTGAATTACTCCATTTTCTCGCTTGCATCAAATGTATGTATCTAGCTTCCTAACGTAAGTGTTAAGTGTAATTACTTTTATTTTTTTATATAATGCATTAGTTTCTTTTTTCTCGTTATAATAATAATCGTCATTCCATAATAATCATAATCAATAACCATAATAATAGCAATAATAATAATATTAACCATCATCATCGTCGCGATCATAAGTCCCGATGATGCTGTTAATTCGTCCATATCGATATATATATATATTTATATGTATATATATGTATATTATATATATATTATATTTTATATTACACGTTCCTTATGAAAATAATAATTCAAAGTGGCATATCTTCCGTTCGCATGCTATTCCCATTCCTGCATCGCGCCCCTCGCGCCTCCATCACTCATTTTCTCGTATTTTACTTCTCGCCCTCGATAAGAGTGACTTTTACAAATAACTATTTATTCTACAGGCATCGGCAGAATTTCTCGATATTTTGCGGTGAATAATCCGTCGTAATTTGCAATACATGCCTTTCCTAATGTATTTACGTTACATAAACGTTTATACACGTCACATTGCAATTCTCGTTTCGTCGAAAAATTCTGCCGTTGAGAGCTTCAGCGAATCTTTGGAGATTTCGATCGAACGCAAGCGTTCGTTCCTCTTTTTCTCTCTTTCTCGCTCTTTGCTATAAAATTACAACTTCATCCTCGCGGCACTCGACGCCACCGACATTGCGACGTTTCTCACGCAGCAATAACTAACTTATGTTGAAATGTCTGTCATTTCATCATGTGTGCTATCGTATTCTTGCATGTAGTTACTTTCTAGCTCATTTTCGTAATATATAGTATATTACAGGTCAATGGAACTTAGGATTGTCAATCCTAAGAATAATCGAATTAAAAAAAAATGCTTAGATAGCAATACTGTTAATCTAACGTTAAATGTTGCACTAGTATCATCTCTGATGCTTACATATTATTCATTCGTATAGCATGGTGGTACAATCCGATATAATGGCAATGTACAATATCTCCGATAATAGTAACTGGCAATTTATAGCAGTGTCGGTGACATCGCGTTTTTAACATTGACAGAGGAACGCACTTTCGGTGCAATATCTTTCGTTTCTCCGCAACACCCGCCATTGTACATACTTCTCTTTCTCTCATTTCCTCTCTAAACGCATACATGCTACTAGTATAATAATATTATTATCACGCGTGGTCTCATTGTTCTGCGCGCCACTCTAAGCTCAACACGCTGATATGCTAATAACGCTTTGTCACACCTTGCGCAACTATCATTTTATCGATTACTTTTGATCTACATGGCATCGGTCGTTTATCTTCTCAGCATACGCTCGCCCGAACCGAATCGAATTTGTTAAGTTTCATGAACGGTTGTCATCTTCCCACACGCATATTTTATGAAGTTTCACTTTTTTTTACGTCCGATCCAGTCGTCCGATTTTATAATTTATCACGAAATAATCATAATAATCGCCATTGGCCGGATATTAATATTATTATTTGTAATAATATTTGCAGTAATAGCGACAGTAGCATTGATAATAATAATACACTAATTAAACAATAATAATCTTAATTGATAATAGCAATAAATCAACCAACATCTACAATATTTACTCGATCAACTCGTAAATTTTTTCACGCTCGCTTGTAACGCATTACCGTCAAATGTTAATACTATTTCACTCGTAATAAATAATTATTGTAATGCGTTTTTTTGTTTCATAGCATTGCTAACTAGAAAACTCTCCCTTCTTTAACACATCCTGTACCAGAATATATTATTGTATTAAAATAAAAAAAACTAGTTTATATAGTTGCACATATAAAACTTATGGGGCATCTTTATGCCTTGTCGTAAACGTTGTCAAAACAATCGAATAATAAAATAATAATATATTTTGACTAGATCAATTAAGCTATTAATGCACATTCCCTGCATTATCATTGGCGAAAGTTATTCTTAAACATCAGGAATACAAAACTCAACTAAGATTTTATTTGGGAGCATGCCCAGATGTGTTCTCGCTATTTCTTCCTCACCTTCTTTCTTTCTTTTTTTTTTCTTTACGCCATATTACGCGTTTCGGTCCGATTTGCCATCTGAAGATGCGAGCGTAGCGATCGTAAATTATTTCAATTGTTATACCGTG